TACCTGGAAGGGCAGCCCAGTCACTGGAGGCAGGGAGCCATCCCACTCAGCTCCTGTTAATCCTGCAAGCTAAAGCCCTAATGTGCAGGTTGGTCCTAGCTGGACAAACAGTGGGAATCACAAAGAGAAGAAATGAACAAATTGGATTAGTAAATCGTCAGGTTGAATAAAAAGATTCCATGCTATGCAGGTGGCAAACAGGAAAGTGACTGTTATCAATAGCTGGATAGACTCCAACTTAGCTTAAGTGTATTTAAAACAAAAACGAATTAGATGGAAGCTGTTAGCAGCTGTAAGGCTCGCCATATACCTTCTCATGTTAAAATAATGACGTTTATTAACATACATTAAATTTTAATAGCACACAGGTAGAAAGGCCTTTAAATAGATTGGAATACAATTCCCCTTAATTACATATTAAATCTCATCCCCATTCTCTGTAATTTTTTTATTCTCTTTCTCTCTATCTCCTCTGCCATTCAGAATATTAAAATGATAGCAAGGTAGGACCAGCTTTCAAATCAGCCCAACAGTACTGAAATCCCATTCTTCCAAAATGACTGTCTTCTACGCTGACTATTCTAAACAGCTAATCATTTTAAGTGGCACTGATTTACGGATGAGCCAATGGTTAGAATTGGCTGGTTATACCCTTCGCTGCACTTACGAAAAGGTGACTTAAGAATGTGTCCAACTAGTACTGAGCTGACTTTTCCTGATCGCTGAACATTTCGGGATACTCAAGGCAGATATTAGTTTCAATGAATCTCTCAGTCAAAAGAGGAACAGTGGGGTCAAAATGAGATTCAAATCGAGCAGCTCAAAGTCACTCCCAGGGAATCCTGCTGGTAAGGGGGAAGACTTTGTAGCCAACTTTGTGACAGCCTGGCTCAGTCGGTAGCACTCTCGCCTCGAAGGCACAAGGATATAAGTTCAAGCTCCACAAGGGACTTGAGAGTTTATAGTCTAGATTGGTGAGGTCCAACTGATGGCCTTCGGGCCGATTTCCTCTGATCCCCCCTCCCCCATTCCTCTATTTTACCTGACCCACCGGTCCCTCCATAACCCGTAAATGTTTAGTTTTCTGAAGGAAAACACAAAAATATTGCTTATGTGGCCTGCGCACGTTTCTCAAATAGGGCATCCAGCCCTCAGCAGCCAAACGGTTGGACTACCCTGGTCTAGATTAACGTTCCAATGCAGTGTTGGGGGAGCTCTGCATTGTCAGAGGTGCCGTCTTTTGAATGAGACTTGAAACCAAGGCTCCTGTTGCCTGTTCAGGTGGACATTAAAGATCCCGTGCGACTATTTGATAAGAGAAGGAAGTTTCTGGCCAACAATTCCCATACTTTGAGACGTCTCGAGGATGGGACAAGGCTCTATATCAAATGCAAGGATTATTATTACTATTATAACCTGTAAGGAAGCCTGCGGTCACTTCCGGTGCTTCAGAGCAAGAATCTCTCCAATCTGCCATGACATAGAGACAGTTATTCTGCAATAATAATACTGGTCACTATTACTGAAACTTGCTGAGAACCTCACACCTTTTAGACCGCCCACCCCCACCACCCTTTCTATCCTTTTCATTTGGAGATCAGACTGAGTTTGGCGTTAATAAAAAGATTGCTGGCAAAAATAATTCATTGTGAAAATGAGTTGATGTTTGATAACTAGCTGTAGCTTTCACCCTAACTTGCCTGTGAACACACAGCACGGTCAAAGAAGAAATTCCTTCTGACGTGAGAGGCGCAATATAAATGCAATTTGTTGTCATTGTGATGAACTGCAGTGTCTACACTCAAATTCAATCAAAAGTGCAGTGAAGTGACTGACTTCCAGAGAGCTCCAGTACAGTCTTGTAAGCAGGCAGCAGGGGTGGTGTATGAATGGCATGAATTAGCACCTCTTGTCTCTTCCCCTTCCTCCACCTGGCCAGAAAATGTTTTCTTTCCACTTCCTCAGACAGCTCCAACTAAGATCAGAAGGTCAGTCCCCGTGAAGTTCGAAATAGAACTTCTTATTCTCCTGTGGCACAAGCTGCAATTCACTGCGCCTTTCCCTTTTCATTTCAACACTAGTGGTGTTACCGCATCATTAAATACTCACATTTATTCCAAACACATTCAATATAGAGCCATAAATCCACACTTATTGGTTCTGGCTCCACTGTGGATATGAAAACCATTTGGGTATCAAATTATTATAATAAATGCAATGTATAAATATATATAGGTATAACAGTGTATAATGTACTAATAGTACGATCCAAAAAATAGCTGTGCTGTGCACAAATAGACTGCGGCATTTACCTACACAATACAGTCACTACATTTTACAGTAAATCCTGTGCAGTGCGACTTTCTGACTTGAAAGGCAGGCACTGTATCAAATGAAACGATTGTTTATTATTATTATAATAGTTAAAATTTCTAGTGCAGTGATTTCCCAATGATATCACTGCACCTACTTCTTGATGCTGAGCTCATGTTTTTGTAACTTATAATGTAAAAAGAGGTGCAGAAAAACAGCTGTAAGCAAGACAGCCAATAACTGCAAGAGCGAAGTCTTAATAATAAACACATACATACATAGACATGACTAGAACCATATGCTAGCAGCAGACATGAAAGACATTATACAGTACACTGCTGACAATGATAGAAATTTGGAAAGCAAATGGACCCATGCACAATATGTCAATAAAGTCTGGAGTCAATTCACAGAGAACTGCTTTCTTGTAAAACTATGGCTCATGTGTAAAAGGGAATGAATAAACAAATACATTGGGCAGTAGAATCTGAAATTGCGATACCTCACAGGCCTTTTCTTTTACGTCGTCGTATTAGGATAACTCAACATGAGCTTGTATTTTAAAGGAACTCAAAGGAAATTTGAAAAGAGTTTTGAAGATCTGACTGCTGAAATTCCACCTAATCTTAGGCTGGAGATCAAATCGTGGAAAAAAAAGTGCTTATTGATGTAAACTCCATTACCTATAACTTGCATAAAAATACGGAGATTTATATATAAACCCGAATGTCACACTCACTCACAAGATCGCTTTGGAGCCAAAGTTTCATTGAAATTTCTTCACACAGAAGGTTATTGGAACATGAAATGCTTTGCCACAAGTGGCTATTTAAAGAAAATTGGATAAATACTTGAAGGGCAGCAAAATAAAACACTCTCTCCCACGACACAATTTGAAAACAGAAGGTAAGAGTGTCCTGGCCAACAATCCACCAGGTAAAATTCACGACACAGCTGTTTGTGGTACACTGCAGTAAATCCTGCAAAGTGCTTTGAGACACTCTTCTGACTTCAAAGGCACTGTATCAAATACAATTATTAAGATTATTACTATTATTATTTTATTACTTACTGCACTGGAGCTATCTTTTCTAACCAAAATTTGTTGTTCTTATAATCTTTCATATTTTTTCCCGCTTCAGTTATTTACCAATTCCCTTTTTAAATGTGGTTGCAATTTCAATGGACCACCATAAATCAAATGCAACATCCACCTGACTAGTGTGAGATACTGTCTATCAGATTAGAAGAGTAACATATCTTCAGTGGTTACTGTTAACCATAAAGGAAAAGATGGATCAGACACAAGATGTGGGTCTTAAAATGCCGGGGCATAGAGATAGATGAGAGCAGGCTATCTGATGTAAACTGTGAGCAAAGAACTGGAGGATACGGGTTTGAAATTAAACAAACCTCCAGTGAGGCTGGAGATTAGATAGCGACATGGATATGAAGAACATACTCCCAGTGACAGCATTCTGGGCTGAATCAATCAATTCTATCAAAAACACAGGCTGTTTCTCTCCTCCTAACCTTCTCCCACATATTAATGGTTCTTTACACACAATGGGATGAAATGTGCGACTTGATCAGCGTTCAGTGTGATAGTTATCACCGACACTAACTATTAATAATAATCCTTGCATTTGAGCCATAGCCGTATACATCAGGAGGATTTCTTAAATCGCTTCACAGGAGCTACTGTAAAGTGGTGACTGGAAAAGAGTAGGCGAACAGGGCGGTCAATTTGGACACAGCGTTGTTGCACAAACAGCCATGAAGTGAGGCCTAGAAAGTAGATACAGTATTTGATGAAAAAAAGTTCAAAACTGCTACTGCGGCTAGAGTTTACAATTACAAAATCAAAAACAGCAGCAGTTCATCTCTAACCCAAGTCGAAGAAGGGGTGTGCCACCAATGAGCGACCTGTCTGTAACTCTATTGGTGGCAGGACAGGTGGTGTTTGCTGTTGAACAGTAATGTTTGCAAAACTGCTCTGGTGATAATCACTGTGAATGCTTTTAAGTGTCAGCCTGGCTCAGTTGTGAGTTTTTGGTGTGGGTTCAAGTCCCCCATCGGAGGAGGTGACCGTAAGCAAGGTGGAAGAGGAAGGTTTTCAGTTGTGATCCAAAAGAGAGGAAGGAGGGGGCAAAATAGAGGGATTGGGGGAGAGAGTTCCAAAGCAGTTTTGGGGGAGAGTTACATTGCTGAAGCTGTCGTCCTTTGGATGGACATTAACAAACCCCATGACGTTATTCAAAAAAGAGAATGTGGTTTTCTCTGGTGTCCTGGCCAACAATCCTCCAAGTGCTTCACCTCCAGATTGTTTGTAGGATTTTTCTGTGTGCTACTTAATAGTAATGACTGTAAAGCGCTTCACGCAATATACTGTAAAGTGAATTGACTGTATATTTGTGGGCGAAACGCTGCAGCCAATTGCACACAGCAGTGTCCCACAAACAGTCGTGGATTGACCAATTTATTATTTTTTTCTTGAGAGATTATTATCAGGCGTGTGAAGCAAGGAAACTTGCCCAAGGTTTTGCCCTGTCGGGAATCGAACCCAGGTCTCTTGCTTGCGAGGCAAGTGCTCTAACCACTGAGCTACAGGACTCCACTAATTAGGGGCTCAGATACAGTTACCAGAAGTTTGCTCATGTAATTCTTGCAAATATCAGCAATCATACCTTTGCTCTTGTCATCACCCTTTTCCAATAAGTCTTTATTTTTATACTTCTTCGCAGGCGGTGTTTGTAGGTTCAGGTCCTCTTCATCTGAAGATCAAAAACAAAACAACATCACAACATTTGTGAGACTAATCATTCCTCTTATGACCTTCAAACTGTTAAGGAAGTTGAGCTGACCTGACTCAAATCTATCGCAAGCCTGCTTTCAAAGAAGCTATCCTTTGTTCTTTTGCAAGAGCCCACAAAGACCGTTTTGGCTAATTCCAACAAAAAACAGATCTTTTTTGTTAAGTCGCTTGATATCAAAATAGTCAATTACTCACCTTCCCAAAGCCTGCGGGAAACCTACAAGTCAAATCAACCAAATACAACACCAACAATAATTGCCGGCACAGACACGATGGGCCGAATGGCTTCCTTCTGTGCTGTATAATTCTATGAACAACAACTTGCCTTTATATAGCACCATACATGTGGGGTAGCGCCCCAGAGCACTTGACAGTGACGGAGTCTGACCCCGAACCAGAGGGAGAGGGAGGGGGGAGGTGATCGTAAGCAAAAGGGAAGGTCTTCAGGCTGGATTTGAAAGTGGAGAGGGAGGGGGCAAGGCGGAGCGATTGAGGGAGAGAGTTCCAGAGCTTCAGTACATAGTGGCTGAAGGCACATTGGTGGAGCGGAGGGGACGAGGGACGAACAGGAGGCCGGAGCCAGCTGAGCGAAGGCAGAAGGCATGGGAGTGGGGGGTACTCCTTCGGCAGTAATAGAGCAGGAATGGAGGCAATATATGTAAATAATAATAATTATTGTAATTGATATAACACTGGATCAAAAGCACATCAGCAAAATTTATCAAAGTAAGTCATAAGATTTACTGTAAAGTCTAGTGTCTGTATATTTTGTAGGCAATTTACGTTTTGCAATGTCTCATAAACAGCAGTGAAGTGAATGACCAATTTTATCTTGAGGATTGTTGGCTAGAACATTGCAAGAAACTCACTTTTTTTTGAATAGTGCCATGGTATCTTTAAGGTCCACCTGAACAGGCAGAAGGGACCCTGGTTCTACATCTCATCCGAAGGACGACACCTCCGACAGCATTGCACTAGAGAATCTAAATTATTAGCTCAATGTCCCGACATGGGGCTTGAGCCCACAAACTTCTGACTCTGAAGCGAGAGTGCTACTAACTGAGCCAGGAGGCCACCAAATACCTTGAGAATTTATCTAGATTCCAACCTCCCAGGTACATTTTAAACAGGGATGACTATGTCTCCTGACAAACAGATAGCTGTATGAGTACACAAAGCAGAAATTTTCTTTGCAATTTCCAGGCATTTATGACCTTTGGGACAACCTGTTATCTCTCAGTTGCGTTGCTACTTTTGACGATGCTGACACTCCAGCCATCTGTGAATCATTTCTAATAGATGAAGCAGTAAACAAGGCTGTATCCATCCTTGGCTATAATTTCTTTTGGCAGGGCCATAGCACAGCTGGTGGCAGAGCCATCAAGCAAGAGCTTGGCAACCTCTGACAGACAAGATTTGTAACCAAGGAGTATTGAATTCCTCAGGACAGAAATACCTTTGAAGAAGGGAAGAAAGTTCTCCTCCGTTTCAGGCCATTATACAATCACCTGCTGCTTATCATATTTTTGGCCACCTGTTAGGTGCAGAATTTGGCCATCTACCCTTAGATGCACATTCTCCTGAGCAGACTTCAATTGTCTCTTAAGAGGATTTGCTTGGACTTGAAAGATCGAGATTTTGCTGCGTAAGAACATAAGAATTGCTAGATGAAAGAAGACCAAGATCCATCCAGTTCGCCTCCCACCATCGTGGCAGTTGCATGCACATGTCCCAAACTATATTCTGTAACCCAAGATACTTTTTCCTAAAATAAATCTATCTAATTTGCTTTTGAAAGAACCAAAACTTTATAATAATAATAATAATAATAATCCTTGCATTTGATATAGCGCTTTTCACGTCGGGAGGACGTCCCAAAGCGCTTCACAGAACACACTGTAAAGTGAATTGACTGTATATTTGTGGGCGAACGCGGCAGCCAATTGCGCACAGCAATGTCCCACAAACAGTCTTAGATTGAAAATGACCAATTTATTATTGTTTTTGGTTTTGGAGGGATTATTATTAGGCTCTGTGTGGAGTAAGGAAACTTGCCCAAGGTTTAGCCCTCTGCCTGGAATTGAACTCAGGTCTCTCACTTGCAAAGCGAGTGCTCTAACCACTGAGCTACAGGACTCCACTTTCTGCTTTCATCGTCTCCCTGGGAAGCCTGTTTCATATTATTTACTTCTATATCACTGAGATAGTGTTTCCGCAAATTTCCGCAGTCTACTTCGCCAGTGTTCATGCCCTGAATGTGCTTTCCAAACTATTGGTAATACTAAGCATTGCCTAGTTAGATGCAACAGTGACCGACTCCCTTTATCATCTGAAAACACCAGCAAAGCACTGAAAGACACATCATTCTGGCACTTGCTCGGAAACCTGGCACTTGTCTTCAATGGTTTATGGGTCTGCCATAATGTTTCTTGCAGGAAAACTAAAGAAGATGCTGCGGTTGAAGAGGTTACTCAGTGTGATGTTTGTACATTCATTTCTGTCTGACAATCACACTGGTTAAAGCTCATAACCATAGCAAAGCTGGTCACATCTGGCATCTCGGATCCTTGCAAACATGCGGTTTATTTACATTAAGAATTAATGACTTTTTCCTGCTGGCTATATTCCTTCCCATCTATAAATCTTATCTCAATGGTCTAGAAGGGAATTCTAGTGTGGCAATTAAATTCTTCTCTCTCCACTGGCCTCAAGTGAGTTTGGGTAAATCTCAGCCCAGTTCCTAACAGGTTCTATAGAACAAACGTGTCGTGTCGTACAATACAGCACAACTTGGTGGCAAATTGGCACTCTCTCTCACTGGGACATAAGGATGACTGAAGCAAAATGCTGACACGTAGAGAAAGGGACACAAAAAGCACTCTTCTGAGGCTTTGGTTAAAGTGCATTGTTAGGGCATAACCTGAGTATATTTACTACCACTGCGAGCTAAAGGAGGACCTGATTCCTGGGCAGAGCGAAACCTTAGGCAAGTTTCCTTCCTTCACACGCCTCTGTTTACTTTGTTTGTTAGTCAATTGATGGATTGCTTTCCGGGAATAATGATAATTAATAATAATCCCTTAAAAAAAGTAATAAAAACTAGCTGTACCCGTTGCAGCTACGCTTGCAACCAAAGGATCCAATATGGAATGTAGATTTACACACAGACAGACATTTCATCTTTATCTATACACATCCTCCTGTGGGAGGATATCTTTCAGGAGGACTCAGTGGGAGGACTCGGTGCTTTAAAAATGTAATTTTTTTGTTGTTGCTGTGACTTAGCTTTGTCTGTGTTCTTTATTTTGTTCCCACCACTTGGATACGTGCGTGCTCTGCGACGCAGGATGCCACAGCCCCACGGTCTGCCGGCATGGACACTAGGTATTAACTGCAGTATGTACGTAGGTGCTCTGTGAAGCAGGATGCCACAGCGCAACTTTGACTTGGCAGCCACCAGGTATGACAGCAGCGAAAAATGTCAAACTAAAAATAACTCATGAACGATCGGAGGTATCCGAAAACAAATATGCCCATGTCACTTCCAGATGCAAGACCTTTCTGATGAGGTACAAATCATGTCTCTTAGTCAATTGGTTATTGAGATCCTTCTTGAAGCGCAGACAGACATTGTCGATTTATTACCATATAGTAATATATACAAGAAGAGACAGAAGAAGATAAAAGATTGATAAACACAGACCTTGAAGTGCAGACAAACATTGTTGTTTTATTAGTGTAGAAGAAGATAATTTGGTCACTCAATCCATGACTGATTGTGAGACACTGCTGTGTGCAATTGGCTTCAGGCTTTCGCCCACAAAATATACAGTCAATTCTCTTTACAGTACATTCTGTGAAGCGCTTTGAGACATCTCAAAGACTTCATAAGACAGTATATCAAATGTAAGCATTATTATTATGTAAAAGCACAGGACATTCCATTCCCAGCACTGTCACCTTAATAACTCATATAATAGTAATATCTGCCTTTTGATATTGCACCTTTCCCACTGCGAGCACACCTCAAAGCGCTTCATGTACTGTAGTGACTTTGTATTTTGTAGGCAAACTGTTACTGTACCAATTCACCAAGGTATATATTTGAAAAGGGAAGACAGCAATCGTACACTGTTACAGCACAGACACAGGCGTTTCACCTGGATCTAGATTTACTTAGATGTAAGCAGCATTCACAGGGAGATGTTATAGTTTGGGGACAAAAACCTTATTGCAATTCTAAGCCACAATCAATTCTAAGCCACAATCAATTCAATGCCCCTAACTTTTGGAACTCCCTCTCTCTACCCGGCATTTCACCTCCTCTATTTCTGACTTTAAAGTGTAGAGTCCTGTAGTTCAGTGGTTAGAGTACTCGCCTTGCAAGTGAGACACCTGGGTTTAATTCCAGGCAGGGCGAAACCTTGGGCAAGTTTCCTCACTCCACACGCCTAACAATAATCCCTCCAAAAACAAAATAATAATAAATTGGTCATTTTCAATCCACGACTGTTTGTGGGACACTACTGTGCGCGATTGGCTGCCTCGTTTCACCCACAAATATACAGTCAATTCATTTTATAGTCTATTCTGTGAAGTGCTTTGAGATGTCAAGAAGATGTGAAAAGCGCTATATCAAATGCAAGGATTATTATTATTATTATAATAAATCTCACTTAGAAACATTTGTGAAGCGATCTGAGATGCAATCCTGCAAACTATTGTTCGGTAGTTTTGGGAAAAAGAACTCCTTTGGGAGTTCTTTTTAATGAAAATACTCACACCCCAGAGAATCTAGGATAAGTGTGACAAAGCAGAAGAGAGTGGGAATCAGGTGTGAGTCGCAAAGATCTCCCACATAAACAAAACCCTGCAAAGTGGTGTGATATCGCACATTGCGTGGGGATTCTTCTCCTCGAGTTTGCAAACCTTCCGGAGTGACAGCACTCCATTCTCATC